TTGACGCTTGTGAAAAACCTTCCGTCACTTCCGAGAATATCTTTGCACGGGTCATCCTAGACAGACTGGTCACCGTCTCTATCTGAGCGAATTCTCTTCCAAGCACAGTGCAGCTTTGGACATGCCAGAAGCACAGTGAGCATGATATTTATTGTGAGACAACTACCAGAAAGTGTACAGAACATAACATGCCCTTCTACACGGTGTTCATCGACTTGACCAAGGCGTTCAACAAGGTCAACAGAGAAGCTCTCTGGACCATGCTTGAACCAATTGGATGCCCAAAGAAGTTCATCAAAGTGATACGGCTCTTTCACGACGGCATGACTGGTCAAGTCTTCACTAGTGGCAAACCAACTGAGGAGTTTGCAATCAGCTACAGTGTGAAACAGGGCTGCGTCTTGGCACCGGTCCTGTTTTACATCTTTTTGGCCCACATGCTGTTCCACACTGAGCCAGACCTGGAGAAGGGAGTCTTCATCCGTTACCGCACAGATGGCTCCCTCTTTGACCTCCCTCGCCTCACCGCCAAAACCAAGTGCCGCTTCGACCTCATTCAAGAAGCAGTCTTTGCCGATGACTGTGCACTGATCGCCCAATCAGATTCTGACCTACACCTCATGCTGGACCGCTTCTCAGAGGCCTCTAAGCTGTTCGGCCTGAAAATCAGCCTCAGCCAGACCGGAGTGCCTCACCAGCCTGCTCCAAACAATGATTCCCCTTCCCCAACCATCATCATTGATGTTACCCAACTCTCAAACATCTAGAGCTTCACGTACTTGGGTAGCATCGTCTCACACGATGATTCCCTCAACAAAGAGATTAACACCTGCATCAGGAAAGCAAGCCAAGCGCTATGAAGGCTCCACAACAGAGTCCTGAACCAGCCCACCAAACGCCTGATGACCAAATTCAAAGTTTACAATGCTGTCGTTCTCCCCTCGCTCCTCTATGGATGTGAATCACGGACACTATATCGCAGGCACATCAAAAAGCTGAAGAGCTTCTACATGCATGCTCTCCGCTCCATCCTTGGTATCCAGTGGCACAACCGCTTCACAAACCTCATAGTCCTGGACTGTGCAAATTTTAATAGTATAGAATCAATGCTAATCAAGGCCCAGCTGAGATGGGTGGGGCACGTCATTCACATGGAGGAGCACTGGATGCTAAGACACCTGCTGTATGGTGAATTGGTGTGTGGCAAACGAAGCAGGGCCGGCCCAAGAAGAGGTTCAAGGACTGTGTCAAATCTAACCTTCAGATGTGCGACATACACCCTAAGGACCTTGAGTCTCACGCCAGCAACAGATCACTATGGCAATCGCTTGTGCTCAAGACCAGCTCCAGGTTCGAGGAGGCCTGTCAACAACATCTGATTGTAGCGAGGGAAAAATGCCACCAGCGAGACAGCCGGCTGGCAACAATTTACTGAAATTCTGATACATGAATTCCATAAATTAAGAAATAATTCATTGTAAAATCAGCTTGTTATTAGAGTTCTAGCTGAGGAATGGATTTCTTTTGTGGTTACTGTTTATCTGTGAAAAAAGTTTCTCGCGCAATCAGGAATTGCTTAAAACCGATCTTGCATCAGAATCAGCAGGAAAAGCATTGTCGTCACTCCAGTCGATTGGACGAGTTTAAAATTCAAAGCTTACACAAGATGACCGAGACCGAGACC